CGCATTGAATTGAGAATTGGGTCCATGTTATGTGTCAGTTACATTTTCTAGCCATGTTCAGAATTTAGAGTGTGTGATTGTTGTGAAGGAAGCATAGAAATTGATGAGATGGAGATGCCAAACGCATCCAATCGAATAGCCACCAAGAATCATGATCTGATCGGGATGACCATTACCCACGTGCCAACACAGCAGGAATGATCCAACGCTGTCAAAGTACCACTCTGACACACATATGGGGATGCCCCCAAAATCTCACCACCCACCCTACAGATTCCCTTTCCACTTCCCAATTATTTTTATTCAGATATCTTCCATCTCCCTCTTTCACTGTCACACACCCCCAATCTATACCATCAACAATATCAAAACACGAAATACTAAAACTCTTTTCAGGACTACAAGGTAGCCTCTTTAATATATCAAAATTTTGACTATTATCAATACCGGTTAAAATTTCTTTTTTAAGAAATGAGTTTGTATACATGAGTAGATAGATGTCATAATCTCTATGTCAAGTATCATAAGTCACACTGTTACAAAAGTTCAAATTAGCAACGGCTAAAATGGGTTTGGGAAAGTCAAAAACACAGAAGGTCATGCCCATGCTTAGCATTGTCAATTGTCTTCTTGGAAGGTCCTGCAAAAGGAAATTATTAGATTCCATGGTAAAACGATTTGTCTTAATTATAGTGAGTAAAGATAAGAGATTAAATATTAGGGAATATAAAGAACATTGTAAAGATTTTTTTTTTAATAAGTCTAATGCTTATTCCTTCAACACGGGAATTTTGATAGAACTATGGAGTAAAACATGTGTATTAGACATATAAATATACGTATCATACAGATTTTTATAACAACATATATGTGAAGTGAATACTATAATCAATAATTCACCGATGGGAGTTAACGTGTAAGTCCATATTCAATATATCATCTATAACTTTGGTAGCAATGTCATATGAAGAAGAAGGATTCAAAAGCTTGGAATTAAGAAATTGAAGTAAATTGTTGAGATTGTCCATGAGTCAAACTGAAAAAAGATTTAGTTCTAGAAGAAATATCTATATTGTTATATATTATTATTTGTGTGTGTTGACCGATTGTTAAAGTAATTTGGAAGATAACTCATAAGTTTATAATATTTTTCTTTAGTATGACCCACTACATCATAATAACTACATTTAGGATGATGTTTTTTTTAAAGATTTAGTTTTATCAAATTGAGTTTTGAGAATAATACACCTAAAAAGCTAAAGTTTCAATTGAAACAGAGGATTTGGTTCTTTTTGAAGAATGAGAGAAAAAATAATATCAATTGATAAAAGAAGATAAAAAAAACGTAGTGGTGAATATGAAAAAAGAATCATGTAATTTCAAGGACATGATATAATCAACATTGATTTTATCGTTGAAATTATTGTCGATAAGTTCTTCTCACATATTTGAGTTTTGTGTAATAAGTGTTATCCTGATATTTGTTATAAAAACATTAGTTAGTGTCTGAGTTCAAAAATTCGAGGATCATTTTTCAAGAGAAATGAGTCCTAAGATCTTCCTAAATCTTGTAAGCAATGGTGGCAAACAAAATGTAGGTGACAATTTCTTTGTATACCGAATTATAAAGCTTAGAAATGGCGGCGTTATAGGCCTTAGACGAAGCAGTAAAGGTAGGATAAGTTGTTGGCGGTCGAGGAAGAAATTCATTGATTAGAGATAGCTTGTTCTTGATGGAAAGGGCAACACGCATCGCACAATTCTAAGTTGTAAAATTTGTATGATCAAGTCAGGACCATCAGAATGATGGAGAAAAAGGGGGCGGTTGGATCTTGATGGGGTTCTTTGAGAGTGAAAGCTATGACGAAGAAGAAACAACGAAGAAGCTAAAAAGGGATGAAAGAAACATGAACCAACCTGGTTCTGATATCATATTAAAAAGTAGACTTGTCTAACTCAATCATACAAAACCGATTTATAAAATGAATGTACTCTAAATTGGTCTTATCTATAATCGATTTGAGATTTCCAACACCTTTCATTATACCAAGATACATGAGACTAAATACTAATGAATGGTCTGATAGCGATCCAACATATATTTAAAAAAATAATCCATAATTTTAATACCTTATCATAAAGTAGTAAGAGAGAAAAGAAATATGTTGCATTAACGAAGAGAAAACTTTACAGAAAAGTAATAAGAAAGGTCACACCTTTTAGAAATCTTTTAGAAATATAGAGAAAGTCCATATAAAGACCGCAAAATGAAAACTAAATAAAGAAAAATAATGAAACTAAATAGAACGTAAACTTAACAGAATAGTTACAAACACCCTGTCCAATATTCACTTCAATAATTAAGATATGATAACAATCTCACGTTGCTTAACTGCATCCACTGTTCTCCGGAGCTATAAACACATGAATGCCAATGCCATCAACATCTCATATATTTATCCGAATATGCTGCTACTACAGATACAGAACAAGTGAATAATTGCAGCCTGTTAATACACATGCCATCCAGTTTTACTCTCTTACCACTCAAAATGAATAATGTACATTTTGTCCATATCCCTCCTTGGCCAAAACATCTCAACAATAGTTAAGTACCGAAGAAGATAACATGATTTGCATAAGTAGAACGAGAATGTCCATTTCTATGCTGCCAAATTTCAGTTGACCTCCTCCACAAAGGTTAAAAGGTGAAAAAGTAACCTGAAATTCCGGGGTTTGTGTGCTTGGAATGTTCACACTATAATCAGGTGTCCCTTTCTACACCATATGGTTGTTCACACCGCCAATGTATGCCATAATATTATGTGTGGAATTTGAAAAAGGTTCATCTTCTTCTTCAGGAGAAGAAGAAGCATTCTGTTATCACCGTAATAATGTCCATGATGTTTACATTGCTTGAACAAGTACTAAAGGTGTGGTACCAGTATTCCTCTGATAGTGCCTAGTCATTGCAACAATAATTTCCTACGAACCAGGATCATTTTTTTGCTATGCCCGTTGTCCTAAAAGGGACCCTACATCGCGTGCCACATAATGCTAACTCAGCACCTAATGTTTCCACCACTTAGGACAACATTAATGCTTCTAACCCATGCACCCAAACGTTGAAATTGTTGTTCTAACAACTAGGGCTGTTTTTAAATACCCCTTCAGTTCATAACAACTATAGTGTGTTTGAAATTGTTCTCACAATGTTGTATAATGAGTAAAACATAAGTATCCACGAAATTAACACGATATTTGCAGAAAATAATGATGATTTCCAAATCCAAAAGCGAGTTTATTTCCGCCATTAGCATAAGAAACTTGTGCAAAGATGATTAAGATTAACATTAAATTAATACAGGCGTGATCATTGATACGTACTTGGGAAGACAATAAAAGTCAGTAGATTTTTTCATCACTTTATTTTTTATTAGGATAACAGGCTAAACAAGGAAAAAAAAGGCTTGTTGTGCTGTAGAAATCCTTCCCTCCGTGTGTGTGAAGGAAAAATTATTGTTTCGTTAAAGATAAAAGTCATTCGTACTGGAAAAATAAGGCTAGAAAATGAGAAAAAAATAATAATTTAGATGGTGACATTTTAAGAACATTAGTAGAGAACATGTTAATGAAAATGGAACTATGTTTTTTAAAATTAGAAATACGTAACTTATTACAACTGAAAACCTTATTCTTGTTGACGTCAAATCTGGTTTGGAGCTTCTTTAGCGATAACCGTTTAAAAATAAGCATAGTAAGTTATATAATTACGCTGAACCTGAAAGAAATAGTTGTTACTCGTTAAAAAAATATGAGAAATTGATTAAGAAATTGAGACACAACTACGCACAATAAACGGTTAATTATTATAATTTACGAGTTATGCTTGCAGTCGTTTCGAGAGTCAGATAGAAGTAAAAAATATGTGTTATTTATTTCATCATTTTATAAAATACTTTTTTAGCGTTCTTTAACATTCTTTTTGGAAACTAATAAATTCAATAAATTTTAATTAAAAAAACTATAAGATTTATTGTTGTTTTTATTCCTGCATCATGATGAATAACAGCAGAAGAAAATTAACATAAAAAACTTTTTAAAATGTGACAATAAAAGCATTATTTTCTCCTTTTTATCTTCCTTTATTGTAGTACTGTTGATTAGATCTCATATTTGTCTTCCTCCTGTTAATAGCATATCTGGAATTAAAATATCACATATATAATATATTGCGGTTTGTACTGATAAGCTACATCATTTTTTGTTGTTCTTAACTTTTCAAGTGATTGTTTTATTCTTTTCTAAGCAAAGATTCCACTTTGCAAGTAATGATCTTGGTGACAAAGTTATTCTCAACAGTTAAACATTAGCATAAGCATTAATCATGGTAGAACATATTATCTTAGCACCTCAAAATACTCTTCCCTTCCATTATTCACACAATAAATCTCGTGGTGCATATCAACTCTCTCTCTCTCTCATGCCACGATGCTGATTTCTAAAGTTTCTTTGGAAACCCCCATAAAGAGTTATCCTTTTATAGCCTTTCGGTGATTAGTTTCACTTCTTTCCCTCTCTTTGCTCTGCTTTCCCTTTACCCTTCCCTAAACATATATCTTAAAGTAAAGAATCTCAAGCAATACACCACCACAATGCTAAATTTAATCTCCTTCACCCTGCATAATTGTTCCTTCAGTTTCGGAGGACTCACCTAGCTCTCTCACACACACCCTACACCATACAACAACGCACGACCAAAAGCTAAAGCTGCAATTTCTGACTTCTCAACCCCAAAATTCCCACACTTGTGTCTATTTCTCTCTCTCAGTGTCTCTTTCCCTCGCTTTGACTCCAAACCCATCACCGTTTCAACCAATCCTCTCACCCCACTGCATAAATTTCGAAACTTTTTCGCGGCTTCCCCAACATTTTGAGACAACATCATTTCATCTCTCTGCTCCCCAGAGACAGAGCTCCCCTGTTCCGAACAAATCTCCATGGCAATAGAAGTGTGCTCCGAGATATCCAGCACGGGAATCAGCCCTCGAATCTCCTTCTCCCACGATCTGAAGAACACGGAAGATGCATCAGTTCGTGTCGAAGATCGCCACCGTGGATCAGACCTGTGCCTCTTGGACTCGAGCTCTGACTTCGTCTTCTGCATCACCAATGGCTTAGCTCAACATCTCTCTTCCGCCGATGAACTCTTCTCTAATGGCAAGATTGTCCCGGCGGAGATCAAAAGCGTTCCCAAAAAACCTTCACATCCTCCTCGATCTCAACCTGCTACCACGGAAAAGACTCAAAGAAAGAGGCTCAAGGAGTTCTTGTCTGCTTCCTCTGACGAAGCAGAGAACGAAGAAGAAAAACCATCATCCAAGTATTTCTGGCAATTCAAGCGCAGTAGCAGTTTGAATTTCGATACCACCCGTGGTAATGGTTTGATTCGCTCGCTTCAGTTCTTGTCACGAAGCCACTCAACCGGTTCGGCCCTGAATCCGAAGCAAACAGAGGTTCCAAGGGAAACTCACAAGCAGAAGCTGCAGAAACAATCCTCCGTTTCAAGCAGAAGGTCATCGTCCTCCTCTTCGAGTTCAAGTACATATTACTTTTATAGTTCGTCTCAAAAAGCTTCGTTAAAGAAAAACGGTGGATATTCGGGTAATGGTGTTAGAATAAGTCCTGTTTTGAATCTACCACAAGCATATATTCCGAAAGCCACAGCCAGATTTTTTGGATTTGGTTCCCTGTTCTGTAATGGAAAGATTAAAAGAAAGAAGAAGTAGGGCATTCACAGGTTTTATCTTTTTGTTCATTTTAAACGAGTAAATAGTATATGTATCGAGAGTAAAGAAATGTTCCCACACTCTTACTCAATTAAGAATTCTCAATAAGTTTACAAAATTCTAGAATTACTACTACTAGCCAAAAGTGTTACATTGATTATAAATCTTTCGTAGTTAACCGATCATGTATGTATAGAAAAATAAACTAATTTTTCAGTTGGGCAAGCATGACGAAATCCGTGAGAGGGCTACGGTGATGTCTGTGATTTTGGTTGATGTGAGTCTAACTGTATATTAATGGAAGAAAATAATTAAGAAGTGAAGTTAATCGTAATGTTGGAGGGTGAAAAGTACAGTTGAGAGATGGAAATGGACAAAAATAATTCATGCATATCAGTATGTTTAGGGCGAAGGAGACAAATAAACAAGGAATCCTTCTTTGGTGACCTCTCTCCCATGCTCTTTCCCCCTTGTATCCTTTTTAAAATTTTCTGCTCATAACTACATGTGACTGGCTTTTGTTCACTTCAACACTGATTGAAGACTTGTTGTAAGGGCTCCATTTTTCTTTTTGTATGCTCAAAAATATTCCCAACCAACTGTTCTATGGGACCCTCTAATTTTGTTCTTTTTGTTTTATTGTGCCAGCATCACAGAGCAGTTCAGTCAAAAAGAACAGGTTAGAAAAAAGAAATCGTTGATTAAAATACCCCCTCTGTGTTTTAGCTCTCTTTTCATATTCATCTACGTAAGTCTTCGCCAGTTAACCACTCTGATAACATCACCCGTTCTTGAATTCGCGGTCTTAATTTAACCAATCAATGTGACTTCACAGAATATCGTAAAGTTCTATGTTTTTGTTTCCGAGATGGCCCATTCTTTGAATACACAAGCCATCAATGAATTACTTTATACAACTCTACACTATTTAAATGTCTTATGTCCTTTTTCTTTGCTTGGGAGTGGGGTCCGTGATTTAACTCCCCTCAGCTCCCTTTATTCACAATTTTTATTTCTAAAACCTCCACAGCCTTCAAATTTCGAACAGTAACAGAATACGAGTCAGGAGCACAAGACACAGATAAGAACCAAATAATAACATCAATGCAGTATGCACAAGACATAGAAAAAATGCCATGGGTTATATATAGGATATAAAAGGACCAGAAAAACTACAAAACTCAGTTGTTTTGTTCATTGCAAGAACAGAGGTCCCTCCCATTGACCCAAATTGTTCTCTGTTTTCAAATTTCAAGCCCGACTCCTATTACAACTATTCAACGTTATTTTAAGTTGGTGTCTTTCCATTCACCATGTGGGTTATCACACGTCTTTCTAAAATTGGGCCTTCTTATATTCTGCTTCAGGATGTTATGTTTGGTTGTTCCATCATCATAATTGCGTTTCCCCTCAAAAATTTACTAAAAATATAAACAAGTTGAAAAAAANATATCTTAAAGTAAAGAATCTCAAGCAATACACCACCACAATGCTAAATTTAATCTCCTTCACCCTGCATAATTGTTCCTTCAGTTTCGGAGGACTCACCTAGCTCTCTCACACACACCCTACACCATACAACAACGCACGACCAAAAGCTAAAGCTGCAATTTCTGACTTCTCAACCCCAAAATTCCCACACTTGTGTCTATTTCTCTCTCTCAGTGTCTCTTTCCCTCGCTTTGACTCCAAACCCATCACCGTTTCAACCAATCCTCTCACCCCACTGCATAAATTTCGAAACTTTTTCGCGGCTTCCCCAACATTTTGAGACAACATCATTTCATCTCTCTGCTCCCCAGAGACAGAGCTCCCCTGTTCCGAACAAATCTCCATGGCAATAGAAGTGTGCTCCGAGATATCCAGCACGGGAATCAGCCCTCGAATCTCCTTCTCCCACGATCTGAAGAACACGGAAGATGCATCAGTTCGTGTCGAAGATCGCCACCGTGGATCAGACCTGTGCCTCTTGGACTCGAGCTCTGACTTCGTCTTCTGCATCACCAATGGCTTAGCTCAACATCTCTCTTCCGCCGATGAACTCTTCTCTAATGGCAAGATTGTCCCGGCGGAGATCAAAAGCGTTCCCAAAAAACCTTCACATCCTCCTCGATCTCAACCTGCTACCACGGAAAAGACTCAAAGAAAGAGGCTCAAGGAGTTCTTGTCTGCTTCCTCTGACGAAGCAGAGAACGAAGAAGAAAAACCATCATCCAAGTATTTCTGGCAATTCAAGCGCAGTAGCAGTTTGAATTTCGATACCACCCGTGGTAATGGTTTGATTCGCTCGCTTCAGTTCTTGTCACGAAGCCACTCAACCGGTTCGGCCCTGAATCCGAAGCAAACAGAGGTTCCAAGGGAAACTCACAAGCAGAAGCTGCAGAAACAATCCTCCGTTTCAAGCAGAAGGTCATCGTCCTCCTCTTCGAGTTCAAGTACATATTACTTTTATAGTTCGTCTCAAAAAGCTTCGTTAAAGAAAAACGGTGGATATTCGGGTAATGGTGTTAGAATAAGTCCTGTTTTGAATCTACCACAAGCATATATTCCGAAAGCCACAGCCAGATTTTTTGGATTTGGTTCCCTGTTCTGTAATGGAAAGATTAAAAGAAAGAAGAAGTAGGGCATTCACAGGTTTTATCTTTTTGTTCATTTTAAACGAGTAAATAGTATATGTATCGAGAGTAAAGAAATGTTCCCACACTCTTACTCAATTAAGAATTCTCAATAAGTTTACAAAATTCTAGAATTACTACTACTAGCCAAAAGTGTTACATTGATTATAAATCTTTCGTAGTTAACCGATCATGTATGTATAGAAAAATAAACTAATTTTTCAGTTGGGCAAGCATGACGAAATCCGTGAGAGGGCTACGGTGATGTCTGTGATTTTGGTTGATGTGAGTCTAACTGTATATTAATGGAAGAAAATAATTAAGAAGTGAAGTTAATCGTAATGTTGGAGGGTGAAAAGTACAGTTGAGAGATGGAAATGGACAAAAATAATTCATGCATATCAGTATGTTTAGGGCGAAGGAGACAAATAAACAAGGAATCCTTCTTTGGTGACCTCTCTCCCATGCTCTTTCCCCCTTGTATCCTTTTTAAAATTTTCTGCTCATAACTACATGTGACTGGCTTTTGTTCACTTCAACACTGATTGAAGACTTGTTGTAAGGGCTCCATTTTTCTTTTTGTATGCTCAAAAATATTCCCAACCAACTGTTCTATGGGACCCTCTAATTTTGTTCTTTTTGTTTTATTGTGCCAGCATCACAGAGCAGTTCAGTCAAAAAGAACAGGTTAGAAAAAAGAAATCGTTGATTAAAATACCCCCTCTGTGTTTTAGCTCTCTTTTCATATTCATCTACGTAAGTCTTCGCCAGTTAACCACTCTGATAACATCACCCGTTCTTGAATTCGCGGTCTTAATTTAACCAATCAATGTGACTTCACAGAATATCGTAAAGTTCTATGTTTTTGTTTCCGAGATGGCCCATTCTTTGAATACACAAGCCATCAATGAATTACTTTATACAACTCTACACTATTTAAATGTCTTATGTCCTTTTTCTTTGCTTGGGAGTGGGGTCCGTGATTTAACTCCCCTCAGCTCCCTTTATTCACAATTTTTATTTCTAAAACCTCCACAGCCTTCAAATTTCGAACAGTAGCAGAATACGAGTCAGGAGCACAAGACACAGATAAGAACCAAATAATAACATCAATGCAGTATGCACAAGACATAGAAAAAATGCCATGGGTTATATATAGGATATAAAAGGACCAGAAAAACTACAAAACTCAGTTGTTTTGTTCATTGCAAGAACAGAGGTCCCTCCCATTGACCCAAATTGTTCTCTGTTTTCAAATTTCAAGCCCGACTCCTCTTACAACTATTCAACGTTATTTTAAGTTGGTGTCTTTCCATTCACCATGTGGGTTATCACACGTCTTTCTAAAATTGGGCCTTCTTATATTCTGCTTCAGGATGTTATGTTTGGTTGTTCCATCATCATAATTGCGTTTCCCCTCAAAAATTTACTAAAAATATAAACAAGTTGAAAAAAAGAACCATTTTTACAACTCTTTGAAAAGCTTTCTACGACTTCTGAATATCGGAGATCTAATATTTCTAGAAACTATTTTTTATATTTCAAACTCTAAAAAATAAATACACGATGGCGTTAACATTTACTAGGATGACTACAATTTGATTGAGAATTCAAACCCTACATTGGTTTACTTCAAAAATCACTTATATAATTTAATTCATTTATTTCTAAAAAAACAAATACTTGTAATAATAACAATGAATAAAAATAAACTTACTCTGGAACAAATTTTAACAAGACATATTTGCTCTTTTCTCCACCGGGACCCTAAAGTGGGTTTGATATGCAAAAGGATTTTCAAAAATCTAGTGAGAAAGTAGAGAAAAAAATATTTTAGAGAAATAATGATTTTTTTAAAATGAATTTTAAATAATTATTTTTTTATTTATAACCTTTATAATTAAACAATAAAATATTTATGCTTTATATCAATTATACTCTTAAACTATAAACTAGGTCCTTACAAAACTGATTTTGAAAAAACAACAATTTAAATAATTTATAAGACCTACCTTATCTATAAGCCTATAAAATATCTTCTTTTTAAAATATGGATTTAAATTAAAATATAATTTAAGTATTTAGATTTGGATATCTGTTCAAAGTATTTTTTTTTTAGAAAATGTGGATTATATTTAATTATAATTCAATCATTTAGATTTTTATATTTATCATTTAGAACAACAACAATTTAAATAATTTAGAAAATGTGACTGGCAATTTAAATATAATTTAAGTATTTAGATTTGGATATCTGTTCAAAGTATTTTTTTTAGAAAATGTGGATTATATTTAATTATAATTCAATCATTTAGATTTTTATATTTATCATTTAGAAAAACAACAATTTAAATAATTTAGAAAATGTGACTGGCAATTTAAATAATGATTTAAACTCGAAGTACTAAATTGTGAATTTAATATTTGATTTAAACATGTCGTGTATATTTTAGGGGGGCAGTGTCCAAATTTGCCATGTGCGTAAATTTGTCATGTATATTTTAGTTTACACATTATTTTTAATGGCAATGGTCGTTAATTAATAGTATATGCATGTATAAATGGTTTGAAGACAGCGAGGAAGAGCTATAAAGCACACCAAAATTAAGCCACGCCAATTCTATATATGTGCATGCGTTGCAATGGTTGCTTGAGTTTAAACCAAAAACAAGGAAGCCATTGAAATCTGCGTAATAAACCCATTAAGAATTTCTTGAAAAGACAAAGAGATAAGAAAAGGAAAAGGTTCTTCCGATCTCAGAAATGGGTAAAGGTGACATTGAATCGGGTTTCTCCGGACAAAGCAACAGCCTCTACCCATACATGATAGAATCACCAGAGCTACGATGGGGATTCATTCGAAAGGTTTACATCATTATTTCTATTCAGCTGCTTTTCACAGCTGCCTTTTCCTCCATCTTCATCTTCTTCACACCCGCAAGAAATTTCGTTCTCTATAATGACTATGCTCCCTTCCTTTTCTTTGGAGCCGCCATCTTTTCCATCATATGTAAGTAACCTCTATCCTCTTATCTATGGCTTTTAGTTTCCATCATCGATAAACTGTTCTTCTTAATTATTTCTGTTTTGCATGTGCATGCAGTTTTGTTTGTGTTGAGCAAATATTACAACAAACACCCCGTCAACCTCCTTCTTCTCGGTCTCTATACCCTCGGCATGTCTGTCACAGTTGGATACGCTTGTGCTTTTGTCGACGGTATCCTTTCTAAACTTCTTTAGCCTTTATCAACTTATGAACTTGCAGAAGACACAAAAAATTTTATAGCTGAATGTTTGTGAAACAGCAATGATCGTTATGGAGGCTGCATTACTAACAGGTGTGGTAACTGGGAGCCTGACGATCTACACATTTTGGGCTGTTAAAAGAGGCAGCGATTTCAGTTTCCTGGGCCCGTTCCTCTTTGCTTCCCTTATGGTCATGTTATTGTTCTCTATCATTCAGGTAAACATTGATTTTCATCACCAACAACACTGTTATTTGTTTTTGTTTTTGTTTCCTCTTACACAGTGATCTCGTTTTGTTGGTTACAGGTGTTTTTCCCGTTAGGACCAACTGGGCGTATGTTCATTGCGGGGATTGGTGCACTGATAATGTGTGGTTTCATCGTATACGACACAGATGATCTCATCAAAAGATATACCTACGACGATTACATCTGGGCTGCTATTGCCATCTATGGCGACATCCTCAACCTCTTCATATATCTGCTTACAATTTTGAACGACCTTTAAGGTTTTAGCTAGTATCTCAACTAGGGTTACTATACTACTCCACGTCCTTACCCCAATTACGAGATGTGAAACATACATTAAAAGATTATTTATTTTGTCAGTGCTGAACTTTTGTAATCAAACAATTCTCGATTACTCAAGTTGAGAAAATACTACCTAATGAAAATTTGAATTTATATACACTTTTTTAAAAGTTAATTGTGAGTTTTGTTTATTGTATTGGATTCTTTGAGATTTGGTTTTGGTATAATTAGATTTTAAAATATTGTTTATATTTGGGAAAAAAGTGAATTTATATTTTCTTGGTTCAAGTTGAACGGTTAATTGCAGAGAAAACCACATTATGGAAATCTTTAATTTAACTATTGAAATCACTTATCCTACGAATCTTTTATCTGTAAGATTTCTAGCAGAGTTAATTTATAGATATAGTTTAAATCGCCTCTGGAGTCTTTTAAAATAAGCGAAGAAGAAAACAAATTGTCTGAGGAAAAAAGAAAAAGGTCTTCTGGGTTATTCAACCATAATCGATTTTTTCTAATGGGAAATTTAGAAAAAGCCCATAAAACTATGATTATTGTCGCATGTAATGTAACGTGCGAAAGTAATTTTCTGGTGTGCAACATGATATTAAACCACGTACATACTGAGAATTTCTCAATTTGATATCATCAGTTTTCAATTTTATTCTTATAATATTTTGAATTTCATACAAAATTGTCAAGAGTTTGATGAAAAAAAAAAAAATATAATATATATTTATATATATATATATAATATATATAATATATTGTATATATTATAATATATATATAATGGAGAAAAGAAAGGGAGCCTAAAGAAATTGACAAATAAGACGCTTGTAAATATTAGAGTCGTCAAACGGGTAATCATGTTCGATCCGACCCACCCACCACAAGTTGGTTCTAGTGACTCAACCCACGCATTTCTCAATTATTAGCGAGTTAAAAAAATTGAACCCGATCGACCGATGGCTAAATGGATTGGCTCATCACGCTCACTTAATTATAATTTTTTTAAAAAAAAAAAAATATATATATATATATATATATATATATATATATATATTTAATTCAAATATAAATAAATTTCACTCTAAGATGATGTTAAACTCCAAACAATTCAAAATAAAAAAAATATCATACAATTCAAGCGTAATCCAAAAACAAGCACAAAAGGTGAACAAATAAATTTTTAATATTAATAATTTTTGTATCACTTGTGCATTTATAATATTAGAGTCTTGAATAGATAAAACTATAAATAGCACTAAATACATTACAGAAGAACTACTGATAGGAAACAAAAAATAACTAATATAAGAAAATAAATAATAGATAAAAAAAGAACTAGTCATGTGTTTGTAACT